ATCGTAACAGGGACCCCACGGCCGGGAGGGGGACTTGATCTTGGGTCTTGAGTCTTGATCTGCTTGGGATGGTATCCGTTGCGTTGGAGTGCCGTGGAGATGTGGTGGAGTTCCTTGTGTAGGTGCTGTTGGTCGCAGATGTTGTAGGCTCGGTGGATGAGGGTGCTGTTGACCGATGACTTGATTTTGGGGTGGTGGAAGGAGGCGCTGTTGAGGTACCTGTCGATGTGGGTGGGCTTGCGATAAACCCTCCGGGCAAGACTTCCATCCTCCTTTCTGGACACCTCAACATCAAGAAACAAAATGCTGCCATTCCTCTCTTGTTCCATGGTGAATTGGATGCTGCTGTGAAGCCCGTTGAGGTGGTCCAAGAAGAGTTGAAGGTTGTCTTGCCCCTGCTCCCAGATGATGAAGGTGTCATCCACATACCGGAGCCAGATCTTGGGGCGGTGGTCTGCTGTGGCGATGGCGGTCTGCTCGAACTCTTCCATGAATATGTCAGCCAGAACCGGGGATATAGGGGATCCCATGGAGGTTCCAGCTGTTTATTCATAGAATCTGTCCCGCCACTGGAAGATGGAAGAATCAAAGCAGGTGGTGAGGAAGTCTTGAAGCTGGCTGGGGGAGAGGTCGGTGCGGTCCTTGAGGCTGGTGTCGGCTTGGAGTCGGTCCGTCGCTATAGTGGTTGCGTTGGATGTGGGAACGCAGGTGAAGAGCGACACGACATCAAAGCTGACCATGATGTCGCCTGGCTGCAGCCGGAGGTCTTGGATGATGGACGAAAATTCATCCAGTGTTAGCAACCAACTTATACAGACAATCTTGCCAAGCCGCTTTGGTTGATGCTGTGTTGTAGGTGTTGGATTGCGTAGCTTTATCACAATGGTGATGTACATGGACGCAGTGACGATCAAAGATGATGCACAGACATCAGGTAGCAAATGTAAATACTTGTATCGTCCGAGGTAAATTGTGGGGTCGCAAGAAGTGGTTTGATAACTCCAAATCCAACTGACAAAACCCAAAGTTCTGCAGATATCTTTGCGGCTCTTGCTTTGCTGGCTGAAGCTCTGAATGTTATTGGATGATGCACAGCGGAGAATCTACCAACTGCTACGGCCGTCACAAAGCAGAAGGAAGCATAACGTCCTACGTCATTCAGCATTCCAAACAGAAATATAACCACGTATTGAGTTTCTGAATCCTGAGGTGACGTTGATGACAAAATTAGCGCAATAAGAAAGAGCAGATCGTCAGCCACCGCCAGATTGGATAGGTAGACATTGAGGATTGTACGCATTGACTTCGCTCGAATGACGACATTTATAGAGAACAACAAAATTCAAAATAAGACCAATCGGTGCAATGATTTTAGCTGCTAGGAAAGCTGCATTCTTACCGTTGATTTAAGTTGATTACCGTTGATTTACATTTTCAAGTTTATCGTTAAAGCATACGTATAACAAAAGTATTTACCAATCAAAATCTAGCATCGTTAAGTGATATATATTGTCAAGGATTTCATAAACGCTCAAACGATCAAAAACTTTATATTCTAAGGGAGGCAGTAATTTGTCTAAGAATACAGGAGGCAAAGGTTTTATAATTGCTAATTCATGTAGTTCCATAGCGTGTTTCAGCAAATCACAAGCTGTACCACTCAAAGGTGAAATTGAAAAACAGGCCAACAGGAAGGCTGGCATCACTGTCACATGATGCCTTTCGCTTGCACTTTTTCGTTTGACCTTGCCAAGATTTGATTTTCTTTCTCTCTAGCAGTGATTTTCATTTTCAGTTGATTGATATTGTCATCGGTTCTTGGAATATCAATTACCTGACCTGTAGCTTAAGAACAAGTCAGAGAATTAATTGGCATTCTCCTATTTCAATTAAGAAAACTTTCATTTCAAAAAAGTTTAGTGTTTACCACATGTCGTAAGTGGTGAACAAAGTTTGAACCAATTAGAAGCAATAATATACCATGAGTATGCACAGCCGTCGTGTCCAATCACATAGGAGTGCATACCATTGTGTTCTAAAGCGGATGGGCAAACTTTGTATGTGTGATTTTGAACGTCGTGTTTGTGAGTGGTCAGGGCCAATTTCATGAAGCCGCTAAGCACAAAAATTTGCTCAGCACAGTATTGTCTTGCTCAGGAAAAACGAGTTACCAGCCAAAATTCATGCCATTTTTATGATAAGCGATGATCAGCTCAGCATCAGTCACAACCAATATACAACATATGAACATTTTGATTGGTAATCCTGTTTATATCAAGAGAAAAAACATGCTAATGATCCGTGAAATTGGCCCTGACCGCTCACAAACATGACATTCAACTTCCCAAACACGACGTTCGAACCCACACACACGACGTTTGTAATTCACAAACACGACGTTCAAACTCACAAACACGACGTTTGCTTGTCCGAACACCATGGAGTTAAAAACCCAGTGAATGTTTTGTTTATTAATTCGCTGCACTTTGACAATTTGCAGATCGCGCATGCAGCGCTAAAAACAACGTGTGATGGGACACCTTTTATTGACGGGCCAAGAAATCAAGTCATTATTGAAAACATTCAGGTCGATGGCGCTACGTTTAAATGATTTCCTGATATTTGCATCGCTCCAGTGGGATAATAAAACGGAAATCAAGTGACGCACAAAGGACCGTCAAAATAAGTAAGGAAAACTGTGGGTGCATATAAAGAAAAACCGGATATCCATGTCACCGGAAAAAACTTTTTTAAGATATGGGAAACATGCAATGCAGTTCAGTTGTTTTGGACCTGAGTATTTAGAGTTCTCAAATTCCAAGTTTACATTTTGTATTTTTGCTTTTCTGCTGATTTATTTACTTCAAAATCTGACATTACTAGATAAAAATTCAACATGGCGATGACGGTCACCTGTGATCAGCTAAGTCATTGCTTAATGACATGCTTAATTAAGCCTTCAAGGCAGAGCTGTGAACGAATTTCGGCAATACCAAGGTCTGGGTCCTTGAAGTGTCACAAAGAAAAGGATAAAGACACTGACTGTCAACTTATGAACCTTTATTTACAAACTTTCAAAAGATCATTCATAGCGCATAATAGAGCCTTGGTCTCCTCACAAAGTCTCACGACAATCAATGTGAACATTGATGTTTTCTCGTAATCACTTCTTACCAACACAATGGAATCTTCAGTTTGAAGTCTTCATGTTTAGGATTACATTTTCTGATAACTTGGAATCCCAGTTTTTCACAAAGAAAAATAAGTGAAGCCTTTTTAATAATTGTATCTTTTTTCGGAATGCATTCTCCGATGGTATCAGTTAACATTTTTATTATCTGAAATTTTCGACACATTTTTACGTGAACTCATTAAATACCATTAGTGTCCAGTTTACTTCAATCCTTCTATTAGAGGGGGAAATGCATTTCAGCCTTGAAAGCCATTCCCACAATTAAAAACACATTGAAAGTCCACAATTGACTGCACGGGATAACTTCTTTCATTTTTTTCACTTGCTTTCATCCATCTAAGAATTAATTTCATCACTCTTTTCTTTTCATATCGAGTCCACAACTGGAAAATACATCATTCTAAAAATCTTCAAAGTTTCACGTAAAATCAGGGCGAAGTGAAAAACTGCCTGCAGTTTCAGAAAAGAGAGAAGATGTCTAGGAGGCTTAGTTTTCTTTATAATTGTCAAATTAGGTGTTTCTTGGCAAACTGACAATATCAACAGAAAAGCTGGCATGACACGCACGTGATGCCTTTCACTTGCACTTTGCTCTTTGTTAACCAGTTGTTTTATTGTTGGTTTGTTTAACCTTGGCAAGATCTTCTTTCCCTCTGTTGCAATGATTCTCATTTTCAGTTGAGTGATATTGTTATCCGTTCTTGATATTACCTGTAGCTTAAGATCAAGTCAGAAAATTAATTAGCATTTCCACCACTATTCAAATTAAGAAAACTTTCGTTTCAAATCAGAAGCATCAGTACAGGCAAAATAACGTTCCTTCGTTTTGTCACGCGTCGTAGGTGTCGCACAAAGGTTTTAACAATAAGAAGGACTGACAATACAATGACTAACGTGCACGACAGTAATGTCCGATCTTGTAGGAGTAGATCCGTTTACACCCATAATTATAATGGCTGTCTCTGATTAACACCCAGTAATGTTTAATTCATTAATACTGCATAACGTTGCTATCAGTAAATACTTTTGCTGGGTGTGTGCTTTCAACGCTAAACATGGAATTTAAATCGATGGTAATAAAGGTAACCTAAGTTGGAGGTGATGTCAATCAAAGGTAGTAAGCAATCATGTAATATTCATGAGCATATAACATAGGTCAAAGTTTTAAAACTGAGTTAGAATTGAATCAAGTAGAGCCAATACCATCAATCTTGCACTAAATGCCTCAATGGCTTTAAAGTTCAAATCAGCGTATGCCCATATCACTACGTACCAATAGTACATTGAGATTGGTCGCCACTTTCGGTGAACGTATGCATCCAATGATAACGATGAATCTGTACAATAATGTGCATAGAATGCTCGCAAATAAAAGGGATCAATACGACATCCTTTCTGTTTATCTATTTATTTGATTAAGCTATTAAGATTTCTCCAAATTATTTCATTTCCAAATCCAATTTGAGTAACCGATTCATCTCTACCCCTTAGCTTCGTAATTCCCATAATCTATTCGGCCAATGAAACCCATTATGTAG